TGATATTAGGAAATACTGAGAGTAAAATCCTTTGAGCCGATGCTCCTGAGGAACCTCCCCTACTGCCCCTAGAGATAGAAGTGATTTCACTTCCTGTATAAGGAGTTGCTCATGAGAAGAGTATCTGAAAAGGAATAGGAAAGGGGGGTGGAAGAGTGGGAAAGAGGGAAATTGGATGGAGTATCTCCTCTCTACTGTGCCAAGTACCCAATGGTCCATGGTAATATGGGACCCGGCAGGGTAAAAAGGGTGTAGTCAGTAAAGGTAAGCTCATTTGAATCCAGAGGGGGGACTGGTACATCATCCTCGAGCACACTTTCAAAAGTCTTGTTTAGAGATGGAGGAAGATTTATGCAGGCTAAATCCTTGGCCAGAGAAAGGATGGATGATGTCATTTCCTGCCACTACAGAATTTCTTATGGGAAGAGTCCTGGTGGTTCAGAGACTGGTATGATAAGCTGTGGGCTGCAGTCTAAAATGTCTGTGTTGTGGGGCAAGGATGAGTATGATCAGGGCCTTCAAAGAGGCCCTGGAGATTTTTAAGCTATGAGTCTCATGTCTGTTTTTTCCAAAAATAAAGGTAGGCCCCTTGAAAGGCAAGTCCTGTAGAGTCGGTTGGACCTCTTGTGATAAGCCAGAGACTTGTACCCAGGAATTTCACCTCATAGTGATTCCTGTGGCTAGCATACACATCCTAAGTCTCTGCTCATGATCCTTACATGTCCGTGGTCAAAAAGTCTTGCAGATGCAGCACTTATCTTTTTTATGGCCCTCACCTAGACACTTTGAACAGTTGGTATACTGAGTACTTTTAGGCATAAACTTGCCACAAGACTGGCAAGACTTGTACTTTGGGAACTGAGATATGTCCTGAAATGAGGAAAGAAAAAAGAAGAGTTAAATCCCCTTAACTATCTTACTAGTATATCTACACTATAACTACAACTACTGAAACTATGTATAAAAAAACTGCTGCTGGAAGTGCTTCCTAATCACAAGAACAGGAGATTCCCGCTGCTGTGACCAGTAAGAAGGAACTGGGAGACTGTAGGGTCAGCAAGGCTATATCTCAAGTTCCACTTTCTAGACTTGTCAAGTATGCAGGACTTTTAGGAATACCTTAGCGAGTCAGTAAGAACTACAACAGCTCTCATGGGCTTTTAAAAGAATGCATGGACTGAAAACTGGAATTAGGGTGGGCAGGCTATTGGCCCATGGGCCAGATCTGCTCTGACAATCCTTTTAATCCAGCCCACCCAATTCTTTGGCACAGAGCAGCACCACTCAAAGTGCCAAGCTGCTCCCTGTTGTTTTCTCCACTGTGGGAGGGTGGAGGCTCCCACACCCCAGCAGAATTTCTCAGCTCCTGTTATACTGGGGGCAGGAGCAATTCAGCACAATTTCTATGTTCCCATTGACCAGTTTCCAGCCAATAGGAGCTGAGAGATTTTGTTGGGGGGGAGGGGAAGGGGAGGAAGTGTCCAAATGTTCCCTCCCACCCCAGCACAGACCATCTCATGGAACAGCCAGTGAGGGGCTATTAGCAGGCAGGGAAGCTTGCTTGAGAGTGCTGTTGACCAAGAGCAGCTATGGTAAGCACCTCCTAGCCAGATCCTGCTTCTGACCTACCACCCCCAATTTCCTCCCAAACCCTGCATCCCTTCCAATGCTCTTCCCCCATGCCAGAATTCTCTCTTGCACCCCCACACTCTCCCAGATCCTGCACCCTAATCCCCTCTCCCAAACTTTATGCCCTCTCCCTCTCAAGCCCCTCATAGACCCTGAACTCACTCCTACATCTATCTCTCCTCCAGACCAGAATCTTCTACTGCACTTGTACTGCCTCCCAGACTCTGCACCCCAATCTCCTGCCCTCAGGTCATAATCCCCTCCTTCACCCAAACTCCCTTAGACCCCATACTGTCTCCTGCACCAGTCCCCTACTGCATGCTCTTCTACTACACCTATACTGCCTCCCAGACTCTGCACCCCAATCTCCTGCCCCACGCATGTGAAATTGACACATCAAATTTTAGAACAGAGTGGGGATGAAGGGGGTAGGTTAGTGTCTGTGAGGTAATGGCATAGGGGTGATAATAGGGGAAGTTTCTGTGAAGTAATGCCATTAGGGGGTGATAATTGGAGAAGCTATCTTTGTAATGGATGAGATAGAGTCTTTGTTTAAACCCATACATAAAGAGTCAAATTTAAGCATGAATGACAATTCTGAAGCTTCTCATTGAAGTCTGGAGTTAAAGTCTCTGTGAAGCAATATGCATGTTTTAAGGTCATTGAGGGAATGGTCAGTCTGGTTGAAATGGCAGGCAACAGCTTTCTCTCTCTGAGAGAGTCTTATGTCTGTTGTGTGTGCATTGATTCTTTGGCGAAGTGTCTGAGAAGTTTGTCCAATGTCCATAGCAGATGGACACTTTAGGCACATGATGGCATAAATTATATTTCTGGATGAACAGGAATATGTGTCCTTGATCTTGTAACTGGCATGGTTAGGTCCAATAATGGTGTCAGCAAATATGTTGACAAAGCTGGCAACAGGGTTTGTTGCAAGAGAAAGTTCCAGGCAGGGTTGGTATTAGTGTGGTATGTCCTGTGGTTGTTGGTAAGAATCATCCTGTGGTTAGATGGTTGTCTATAGGAGACTATGGGTCTGTCTCCCAGAGCCTCTCGGAGTGTAGTATCCTGTTCCATTATAGGTTGTAGTTTATTGATAATGTGTTGGATGGGTTTAAGTTGGGAGCTATAGGTGATGACAAGTGGTGTTCTATTGTTGGTTTTCCCAGGTCTGCCTTGAAGTAGATGGTTTCTGGGTATTCGTCTGGCTCTTTCAATTTGTTTTTTTATTTCTCCAGGTGGGTAATTGAGGTTTAAAAATGCTTGGTAGAGATCCTGAAGTTTCTGGTCCCTGTCATCTCTACCAAGCATTTTTTTGATTATATCACTCTGGTATATATGGTTGTTCCGATTTTCTTCCACATATTGATCTGAGGAAGTTGGTCTGGCCCACAAAAGCTCATCATCTAATAAACCATCTTGTTAGTCTTTAAAAGTCTACATAGTTCTGTCTTTTGTTTCAGCTAGACCAGACTAACACGGCTGCATCTCTATCAGTTTTCTGTTGATAGCCTCATGTCATTTGCCTCTGTTGGTGAAGACATGTCTTTTATCGCTGTTACAGTGTTCCTCATTTAAAATCAGAATTTGCCAAAATTTACTATAGGGCATGAAATGACTATGCTACCTCAGATAACACTATGTGCTAACTGATGGCAACTGATGAATATTCTAGTGTTTGGGAGAAGTAGGTATTAATGCAGGGCCAGCCCACAACATTTTGGCACCTGAGACGGGGAGTTCAAATGATGCCCCCATGTCCCCTCACTTGGGCCAAAACTTTGAAAGTTCTCAATTCTGCCTTCTTCCTGTTCTACTCCTCTTATGGTACTGTAGAGAGAATACACATGTACCAGCAGCAGACACAATTTTCTACATTCTGGGTCCTAGTGGCACCCCCCCACACACAGTCTGGCACCTGAGGCGGCCACCGCAGTTCGCCTCATGATAAGGTATTAACGGGACAATGTTAGATTGGAAGAAGGTCCGTAGTAGGGTCCCACAGGGATATATTCTGGAATTGGTGTTGTTTACTATCTTTAGTAATGATCCTGGATGTAGGAATGAGAGCATATTAATCAAATTTGCAGGTTATACAAAGTTGGTCAGGGGAAGGGTTGCAAATATTGTGAAAGACAGAACTAAAATTCAAAAGGATCTTGATAAATTAGAGAACTGGAGTATATCAAAATTCATCATGAACAAATGTAAGATCTACACTCAAGGAAGAAAAAAACAAATGCAAAAATACAGAATTTCTCTCTCTCACACACGCATATACACTCTGAATGCATAGGCACCTAACAATTTCTTAATGAATATTTATTATTTTGTATTGATGCTAAATCAATACGCAGTTGTTGATTATATATTAAAGGGACTTTTCTGTTATTCACAAGGGGGTCTAAAGCCTGCAGATACTATACAAAATGTAATCAATAGTTAGATTATGTACTGTGTAGCAATGTGAATTGAAGAAAAAGGCTGGATGAAATTTTCTGGTGATATTCCTAAATCCATCTTCTGAATGTCATTAACGTGCAACTGCAGAATGAGCTTTTAGAGTCAATGGTGAGGGATAATGCATTTTTTTTATGCTTTAACAATTATACTTTGGGCTGGGAGAAAAGTGCAGATGTTGGGATAAAGGGGGCACTGTGCAGAAGATAGGGGCAAAGCTCACACATTGCAGGACTAGTTGTAAAAGGTGCACAGCATGGGGGCCCAGGGGTTGGGGAGCCCATAAATGCAGGCACAGTGGGAGCAAGGCTTGGTGGGAGTGTGACTAGGTGCCAAGCTGAATGGTTTTCAGGGTGTGTGGAGGGTCCTGCACCTTGTTAATTATCCCTTGTTTTGGTATTTTTTCTTCCATGACAATTTCATTTTATATATGTATATTATATATGTGTGTGTGTGTGTTAGTAACTGGTGGGTGCCATGGTGGCAATGTACAAACATGCACATATGATGTGAACATTGGTGCACAAGGCAAAACTCATTACACTTATGGGTGGAAAAATATTAAAGGGAACACTGATCAACAGCTCCCAAACCAAAAAAGTTTCCCACCCCTCGTTTAAAACTAGATCCGAACAAAGAACATTTTCTGGGTAGAAGAATGGGTGAATTTCAGATGGTGTTAAACTTAGACTGAGTTATCATAAAAAAATGAATCAGTAAGACTGTGTCTAGCTCTTTATGCCTCCAACATATAATTTGGACAAAATGTAGTACAACCAGCAGCAAGAACTACAGGAAGGATGAAGACAGGTAATACACAAGCCCAAAATGCAATGCATTGATTGGATTTTGTAAGGGGATTGTAGTGTTGTGGTTTTCTATACTAAATTTTGGTTCTCATGATACTTTAGGTACAAGGCACTGCTGCAGTAACAAAACTGCTAATTGTACGAACTGCTACCAGTGTGAAGAGGAAGAGTAGTAGAAGATGTAGTAATGTTTGTCAATACCATTCATCTATGCGGAGACAAGGTGAGGAAGAATTTTTGGCTCAGATTCATGTAATTGCTTGTGTAAAAATACATGATATTTAGCACTTAGTTGCAGACAAATGAAACATTGGAAGTAGAATACTATTGGTGACATAGCAAAAACTGAAGATGGAAAAACTAAAGTATAATTGCCTCTCCACACCTGCTTCAGTCAAACACTAACTTTGGTCTGAACACAGAGGTAACTGAGGGCAATTCTACATTACTGAATAAGTTATCCAACAGGTCACTCAGAGGTGTGAAATCTCCCTTCCCCCCCCACCCCAGTAACACACGTTTTCCATTGGGGTTGTCAACAGGAAAGCACCTCCCACCAATATAGCTTCTGCATCTTACAGAATTAGAATAATTATACTAATTGGGGAGCATTCCCTCATAGGCATAGCAAGTCTTCACAAGACACTCTACAGCAGTACAGTAGCACTGATGCTGCATAGTAGTATAGATTTGCACTGAGTGAAAGGTGATGGCCAGCATTGAATGGAACAGACATAATGGCCTTTCCTGGCATTTATCTATGCATCTGCTTCCTAGCCACCCTTCTGTTTCAGCCATCAATGAAGGGGCAATCTGTATTCTGACAAATCTTAACTTTTGAGCAAATGACTTTTCAGTCTTAATTATACTTTTTAAAATTATGTTTTACATTTTAAAAAAGATCACACACATTTTATGTTGATCTGTAACAAACACCTTCCTCCATGAGTCATCAGTAGGGTTATGTTCCAGAGAGCAGCTAATAAAGCAGGAAACATTATACCAATAGAGGTTTACATGTGTAGGAGTAGCCCCATTTTAGACAGTCTAAGGACAAAAAAATTGTCAGACTGTGTAGTTACAGCTTGTCTGCCATGAGGGAGCAGCGTTCTACTCCCCAGCTTGTACAGTCTCTCAATGGGGAACGAGGCCTTATTCTCTTGCTTGTTTCTCTGCTGTCTTGAGTTTGACCTCCAGTGAAGTGCTGAGGTAACATCAGGAAGCAATGCATGTGCAGTGTAATGTTGAGGGGTTTGGCAGGAAGTAAACAACAAACTATGCAAACCACACATGAAAACTGTGAAAATGACAATTACAAGGGACTTATAACCCATATCTAAGCACATCCCATGGTATTGACATGTAAACTGTCTATCCCCAAACCGGTTGCCAGTATAGGGCATACGAGGCACACTGGTTTCTATTAATCCCACAAATCACCAAAGTTTAGGCCAATTGAACTTGAATAGATTGTTTATGTAATATAGCTAATATAGTATTTTCTTCTTGCATACACAGCTACTGTTGGAAATACTGTGAAAACAGATGGTAGCAATCAGCATTCACTACGCCCAGATGCTGTAAGTTTAAAACATACCAAATATAAATCTGTTTTTGAAACAGGTACATTAAGAATACTGTACAAGACAGATACAACAATAATTTTCACTCTTTAGGAAATTATACTCATTTTTATATTTCTAAAAAAGCAGTCATTACAAATGTCTAAGTGTAAGCAGAAGAACAGGACAACATAAAAAGATTCTTGCCCTCTTTATATAGTGTAATAGATAGTCATTCCTTCATGCAGGCAAAGGCTGAGACATAGGTGTGCCCTAGGTCCCATGAGGAGCAGACTTCGGCTATCAGCTAAACTGAAGATCCTGTAGTAGAAATTCCCCAGCTTCAGATATTCCATTGTTGTATATATGGACAGGTGAAGAATTAAACTAATTATATAGTAAAAATGTTTAATGATACCGACAAACACCCCTTTAATATGCTTTTAACAAGTCTTAAAAATCTTGCTTATTTAAATCTTATTTCTTCCTTCTCGCAACTCCAAAAAACTCTTGATAATCTCTCTATATAAAAATACTTTTCCCGTGGGACAATGGAGTGACATCACCACGTCAGTCTGTCCCACCTGTCTCTTCCTTCCCCTTTCTCCAGTGCTTAGCTGCCACACTGCAGCCTCCCTCCTCCTCATTCCCCAGGGGCTAGGGGAAGCACATGGGGCCTGGTGAGACCCGGAACTGGCCCCGTCTCTGGTGGCCAGAGGGACAGTGTGGGGCCTGGCCTTGGAGCTCCCTTCCCTCCCCAGCAGCCAGGAGTGAGGAAGAGCCAGAGCTAGGGAGGGGAAATGGGGGGGGGGAAGGGGCTCCGGGGCCCTGCCAGCCTCAGATCTTGCCTGGCGGGGAGAGGCAGAGGACTCAGCCTGGGCCCTCCTGGCAGCCGGAAAGCAAGCCAGGCCTACCTTGGCCTGGTCCACTTACTGCCCCTCTCCCCTCATAACAGCCAGAGGGAGAGATCCAGACCAGCCAGTCTTGGCCCAGCCCAACCGCCCCCAGCAGCCAAAGAGAGCCGGTCCATCTGTGGCCTCAGCCTGGTCCAAGTCCCAGTGGCCAGAACGGGAGAGTCAGGGCTGGTCTGGGACAAACCAGACTTTCATAAGGTCCTTAATCTACCCATTCTTGCAGTGCTCTGCTCATGACAGGAAAAAGACAGTTTTGACAATGAATGCTGTTAACTTTGGGACTTACTAAAGAAGGAGCCACACCAATAAATGTTATAACAGAAAATGTGCCAGCTTCTGAATGATATAGGTGACAGTAGATACTAGCTAAGGTGGTACCCCTATAGCCATCCTGGAGTCTTTCAAAATCCATGGATCCAAAATATGCATATCAGCATATAATTTACCACTTTTGCTCATAAGGTCCTTGTTCAAATCACTAACTACATGGCAGGGAATAAGAATCTCAGATTCCTTATTTTTTCCAATTTGCTGGGTTTTCTTCCTCAAGCTATGCTAAGTGAATATTCCTCCTAAACAAAACACTTTCAGACTAAAGAACTGCATTTTGATGACCTTCCAAACATAGTTCAGTACTTGCTTTTTCCCCAGTGATTTTTGTGAAGGGCAGAAAATATATGGTTTCCTGGAGGCAAGGATGTTTAAGTGCTAGGAATTGATCTATAGGAACTAGTTTTCCAATTTAATATGCTGAATTGCAGTTTAGGGGTGGAGGGTGCGACAGCCACAGAACTGGATGAAGCGTTATTAGTTATATTTTTGTTTCAAATTACAGAAAGGCCATATAGTGCGTGTCATTTCAATTCAAATAATGCAAGAAGTATTTTTAAAATAATTGCACTCTTCATACAGGACACTGATGTGTTAACTCCAGGACAGTCCATCAGTGTGTCAGTCTTGTGAAGGGTAAAAGTGCACCAGTATCATCCACCACCACAGGAGAAAGTTGTGGAAGCAGAAGAGGTTAGAGTCTATTAGAACCAAATACCCTAATGTTATTTTTTTTAATATAAGTGATTTCCATTTTTATTGTGAAATCTAGTTTGTTCAGATGCATCTCCTTTAGCATTCTATACAAGTTTCATTACAGAATTGAATTTTCCTTAGAATAGAGTAGCATTAGCAGTACAGAATTTACAAAGCTATATTTATACTTTGCTAGTAAACCTTTCAAAGCTATCAAAATGTTTCAGATGTTTTTAGTCTATATGTAACTGACACCATATAACGATATTAAAATTTTTAAGAAATAAGTTTGTACACAGCACCTCATTTGCACAAAGCACTTATTTGCAGTAACCTAGACCCATACTGTGCCTTAGTGGCAGTTGGTAAAAGGATTGTTTTCTGATATTATCAAGAAGCCATCTCAGTGGCTCTGAAGGCTACACAGATCTGTTGAAAGTCTTTCCTACATTACTGCAGGACAATATCAGTCAATGGGAGAACTTCATAATGAAAGCAAAATTCAAAACCTACTTAATCAGTAACAAGAAAAGTTAAACTTGTATTAGCCCGTAATGCATTTGGGTTATCACAAGGCAGCAATGGTAGTTGAATTTTTGTTTCTAGATAAGATTAGATATAGAGGGAACAGAGAAGGGGACCGAAGACAGAATGCTAGGTACAGCCAAAAGAACAAAAAAGTGTAAGCTATTTTATCAATTGGAGGCTGTTCTGACAATAGATGTTTGGAGAAGCCACGCTTCTGAGAGGGCTGAAGAGAACTGCATGGTTTTGCATATCCTCTCACTCTGGTTCATCACACATTGAAGGATGGGCTGCAGTGATTCTAACTGTTCTGAAACTGCTACGGCAACTGCTCTGAATACTACTGAAGATTCACTAAGGAGAATTTAGAATACCCTGGTTTTAACCTCTAAAACTGAAAGAGCCTCAAATTGAGATTATGACCAGGTAAGAAAAGAGGCACTTACATATGCAGACTTAGAGTAGAAAATGTGTTGAAGACATGCTTCTGTTCTGAGCAAAGCTCGTTCCCTTACTTCTTTTTTTGTGTGTGTGCGCGCGCGCCAGTAGAGAACAAGGAATAAGTATTGACAGGAAATATGTTTGTAATAAAAATCTTTACAAAAGCAAGAGAATATTCCTTTGCTGCTTTGTACTGTCAGAGACACAGTGTTCTAGGGCAGCAATGCAATGGGCTATTTTCCAAAGAATTTACAACATAAATTACCTTCTACAATGTTACGGTACCCATCTATCATGGAACAGATATCTCCAGAGAGAAGCTTGATTATCTCATCTTTCAGATCCTAATTCAGCAAGATACTTTAACATGCAATTTAGTTCCCACTGAAGTAAGGGCCTAAGGCTTCATCCAGCAACTAACCAAGGCTAAAAACTCTTCATTGGATCAGGAATCAGAAAGACAGTATGACTGCAGCTCAAAAACCCAACCCCTATAAGTTATTATAGCTCATGCTTATAGATTGGGTTTTGGAAAGCTGCAGCCTGACTTCATTCTTAGATAATCCTAAGAGTTGAAGCTCTGAAAAAGCATCTGAATCAGCAGTAGGCTGCCTAATTCAGAAACAGACAAAGTAAGGAAATTTCCTGTTGGGAGTAAATACCTTCTACCAGAAAAAAGCCTCATCTTTTAATTTTACTTTATACTACTACTGTCTTTCACAGTAGTTTACAGTGCCAACTGTCAAGCCTTTGGCACTCCCACAAAAGCAGCACTGTTAGGCAATACTCTGTGGTAATTGAGTGATATTTCAAACTTTGCTTTAATCTAAAAACTAAACTCTCAATACAGATGATAGAGATTTTTAAAAAAGCAAATTAAAAATAGTTACAAATATTTACCAAAAAATCTCAATCAGTACTTACAGTATGATTAAGATGGAGCCCATTCAAATTATCACGTGAGGTAGTCTTAAACCTCACTTATCTAAGCAAAGGAACATGCAGACATGTTTCAAATCACATTTTATCTTCATAATCCCTGTAAACACCCCACCTTGTGGCAAAACACTCCTCCACCTCCATGTGGTTGCATGTCTCTTTGCTTGATAGGGAAGAAGTAGTCACTAAAAAACAAATAGTGTACCGGCCCCCCCATCCCCCAAGAGTGAGCCATGCCTGGAATCCAGCTTTGACCAACAGCTTGAGCTTGGAGCCAAAGTTGGTGGTTTTGGTACTGAGATAACTGGATCAGTAATAATCCCAAAAATGGAACAAAGATAAATTTAGCAGATATCCCATCTTAAAGTATTGCGTTCAAAATACTCTGAAACCATCATGTGAAACTTATTCAGGACTGCTTACTTTGAAGTAAGATTAAAGTCAGAATATTCCATTTTATAGAAAGTGTATTTTTTTAAATAAGAGTGGGTTCACCCTGCATCATTTATGCACAAACAAGCAACACTGGTTGGCCTTTTTTACTCTGCATATTATTGCGGTTTGCCTTTGTTTTCACCAGATGGCTCAAGTAATTTCTTGGGGTTTGCTACTTGGAATCTCTCTATGGAGATTATGTATGAAATGCAAGACAAGAACTAACGGAAATCCCATTATACATTTTTTTTTATTTCTGTATGCAATGTAATGTTTAGGCACGTTGCTTGGGACACTTTCTAAAATAAATCATTGGCCATTGTTTAGAGTATCCTTTTGGCTTTAAATACTGGTTAGGAAAACAAAACAATGTAAAAATAAATGACTATAACTTCCTATTACAGAAATAAAAATGGATTTGCATCTAAAAGTGCAAGAGGTGAAGTACTTTAACCCTTTCACCAGACAATGTGGCAATATACAATATATTGCTTCTGTTTGTTTGAGAAGGCTGTTGGAATTTTATACCGACATAGAAAATTATAAATTATACAGAATTAGTTTCCATAATCATTATATATACAAACCAGCAGAGGAAAAAACTGGTTTAGAACTTACAAATGAAAGCCTCACACAGATCAATACAGTGAAAGTAACAATTAACATGCTCAGGTGCCAAATTTTGATTTGTACTTTAAAAATACTAGGTTTTTAAAATGCATGTACTGTAATTACATTAGCAGAACAGGCATTTCACTTAGTTGACTTGTCTAACAGGATTATGGTGTTTTAAATCTAAAATGTTCAATTGTATGTTTGGTATATTAAAGTAAATCTTAGTGAATGGGTTCAAAGATAGGTGAATCACTTTAAAAAACACAACAAGCCATGTGCACTTCAAATATTCTAGTGTTTCACCTGTAAGGTATTGTTTCAAGCAAACAAGACTAACAGAACATATGGCTTTACAGCAACATCAATTTGTCACCTAAGTTGTAGTAATAAATATTTAAAATCTCTACCAATAGACTTACATTTTTGATCTGTTTTAAACAATACAGAAAACAATTACCAATTAAAAACTGTTGTAAAATGCGGAACACCAAAAATTCTTATTTAAATCACTTTTGTAAGCTAAAACAACCAAAATAACATTTATGGGGCATTTCAGTTCTACAATTCTTTGCCAACCTGGAAGAAACATGAATTTTTTTTAAACAAGGTGAAAAATGTATGAAAACTGCTAAATACTTTGGTCACACTAATTGTCAAATAGTTATGTCTCAAATACATTAGATTTGTGTATTCTTTTTTATAAAACTATTCTTACAGCCATTTTAACTATAGTATCACTACTATCATTACCTGGGTGGCAAGAGCTTATTTCACAGGTCACCCATTATTTAGAACAATACATATAAACATACGCAAAAAGTATTGGTATTTCTGAATGTGCAATATTTTTTACACTTATGAATTTCTGTACAATGTCTTAAAATCTAGAATATAAATGTTGCTGGTCCTGATCCCTTGCGAAATTAGTGCAGCAGTGACTGGCTTTGACAGGCTCTAGATGAAATCCTTGAGAAACACTAAAACCCCTGGGTATCAGTTCGTGTTCTTCAGCCAACAGCAGCAGACATCACATATCATACAGGGCCATTAACAGTTGCTTCTCCTAAAAGGGTTTGTTGATCAGTCCTAAGAAATCAAAAAGAGGGTGTAAGTGTATTAAAAAACCAATGCACCTGTATAATCGTCACAATCAAGGGTAAAAGCAAGCAAATGAACTTCTAATGACTTGTTTAAATCATATTAATTTAAAATTGGGGTCATGGAAAAGAGCAAGTGTGTCCATAAAACAAAATGAAAAACCCTGCTATGTCCTTTTTCATTTTCTTATTAACAGAAGCAGATTGACAGCTTTACTACAGTTAAGGTTAAAACCAGCTCTCTTGTTTAAAGCTGACTTTTTTTTAATGGCTACAAAATCCCTTTGGGGGACATCAAATTAGAAACATTACTACAAAAACTTTATTTCTTTGGTTATGTACATGAAAAGGCTTGTACACCTGTTTATGCCCTTAGTGGAGTATATGGAACATGTACAGAGTAAGAGGCTAACTGTCTGGAAAACTCTACATCACAAGATCTGGGCTGTGGTAATCTGTTAGACACAGAATCTGAACACCAACCAGGGAAGAACTCTGACATTTAAAAAAAAAAGTACATTTCTCCAATCTGCCTCTATCAAAGGGGAAATGTAATCAGCGCACACCAGATCACTCGTGAGGTGCTGAAGCTAGTTTCTGAAAAGAAACCACACAAGCTAATACTCATCAGGAAGGGAAAGTGATTAAGGGTTGCAGAGGAGGTGGGAACAGGAAGCAAGAGGACATTGATGAGACACTGGGACACGAGTGATGGAAGTGACAAGAAGATGGATGAGGAGGGCAGGGACAGTATATGCTCATTACAATCTGCAGAGCTCCAGCATGTCAATAGGGTATGACGCACACACACCCTCCCCTTGGCCAGGTTTGGTGCTTGCTTTTCTGGGGGATTGAGCTCAGTCCTCTGTAAAGCTGGGATTCAGAGTCCATTCTGGAAATGTATGAGCCCTCAAACCCTATGCCTTCATGGGTCTGACAGAATGTGGGACTTCCTTCCCACCCCCAGCCAGGTTCTAGCAGAGTTTGCCTTTCAGGGGTATCTGAGTATCCCCTAATCCCCCACTCCACTGAGAGCCAGAATTGGAGGAAGCCCTGACTCCTTCTGGCTGGGAAGCTTACAACAACAGGCATGCCCCTAAGCATGCACCATGGAAAACTTCTGGTACTAGGGTGAGGAGCTAAGAATAGGTAAAACTGATGCATCACAAAGTCTCCCTAGGAGTTTAGGAAAGCTCACTGCTATGAACAGAACAATTCACACACCCCAGAGCCATTGTTTCAAGTTGCACTCATCTTCATTGAGCATTCACTTTCTGTTGAGAACATCTCATTGAAACAAATGGGCCACCAATCTGAGCCTGCAACTCTGAAGTCAGAAACTCACCTTAGGTGAAATCTAAGGGTATGTCCACATGTACATGTTGGCAGTAGTACTGATGCAGCTGCAGGACGCCTAATGAAGGTGTTCTATGCTCACTGACGGGACATATCTCCAACCAGCATAATATAACCACCTCCACAAACAGCAGAAACTATGTTTTAAGTAGACGCTCTACCAGCAATACAGCACTGTGCATATAAGCACTTATACTGATGCAATTTAAGTCACTTTGGGGAATGGCGTATTCACATCCCTTAGCAGCATATGCCTAAGGCCATGTCTGCACAAGAAACACTATAGTGGAACAGCTACTGCTGCTGCTGCACTATTATAATGCAGGGACTCAAGCAACAGAACAGATTTTTTCATTGCTGTATTAATGCCACCTCTCAAAGGCAATAACTAACACAACCCAAGAATTCTTCTGCCTGCCTGATAACAGGGCTTGTGTCAGCATCACTTCCTGTGCAACGCAGTTAAATTTTCACAGCCCTGAGCACCACAATTAGATGGACTGTGCACTGTAGACCAGGCGTAAGATTCACCTGTAAATAGCTGGGTAAAAAAATGCCACTTCAATTTTCCTTTTTTTGAAAATATATAAGAAATGTGGTGAGTACAGCAGAATATGCAGAAGGCACATGAGTTATTTTTTAAATAAAAACAAATTATACAGGCATGTGCTTGTTGGGAAGGGAGATTAATGTCACCAAATCTTGAACCACTAAGGGAAAAGAGGGTTGGGTCTGCAGTGAGGAACAGAGGAATTCTGGGATGGGGACAAATGGAAACTGATGGTGAGGTAAGGAGGAGGGTTCAGGTAAAGGGGAGGGGACAGGAGAAGACAGGAGGGATTGGCCAATGAGGTAGCAGAAAGTCAGGGTAGAGAGATAGGAGGGCCTAATGGCCTTGAATTCTTCTCATGTCCCCTGCTACTCTTGGTGGGGCCTGACTCCTCCTCTCTGCCTCTCCATTTGAGCTGGGATGGGAAGAATGAAGGCAATAAATTGAAACACCTTAAATCCAGAAAATAATTAAGATACATATCTCTGGGTGGGGCTGTCATGATCATGAGGGTTAGCCAGCAGCCTGGGAACTAAGGGGTTAACCTTACCTAAGTCAGGTAGATTCACCCAATAGGAATGTAGGTAGGAATTTCAAACTGGGACAAAGGAATTTTTGATTTTTCCCTCCTTTGTCCTGGGCAGTTCTCTCTCCATCTACTGAGGGGGGCAGAAAGAATGTCTGCCTCCAAGAATAGACTCTTCACTCTTCTGTAAGTAGGGTAAAGTTTAGATAAATCCGTTTTACGGTTTGGGAAATGGGATCTGATGTCTGTACATTTAAAAATGTTTTTTGCTCTCTTTTACAAAAGCTAAGCTCCTGGCCTATGGTGGGTTTCTCCTCCATGAGTATATTACTTGGTTATTTTTCTATCTAGTCATTATGCTTGCAACAGGAATACTGTACTGATAATAAACGTTCTTTTTTATTTTCTTAACCTGGCATTGGTTAATTTGTGTGTCCTGGTTTGTACTTTAGGGTTGAGATTTCCCAAGGGATCTCTCCCCTGATTTTCTTATCAATTCTTGGGTGGTGGCAGTGGGATTTTATCCCCAAAATCTAGGTTAAGATTTTGGGGGAAGAGTTTTATACCAAAGCCTGGAAGATAAGGTTTTGGGGTACTTTTGCTGGTCCCCACTCCCACATTTATCATGCCAGAGTGGGGAAGGAGCCATACAGGGGCAAAGGGAATGGCCTGAGCATAATGCAGGGAGAGGCAGACTGGGTGAACCTGTAACACAACAAGTAAAGCCTGGCTAAAAAGGGGGCAGGAATCTTAGCTGGAGGAGGTTAGTGGCAATGAGGGACCCAGCTCATGCAACAGCGTGGGATACATAACCAGTGTTGCATGTGGCCCTTGACTAAGCTTCTGCCTGTGATATCTGCATGCATCTGCATAGGGCAGGAGGCACCAAAGAGCAACTTTTCTTACCTATATATATTAACTATCATGATAGCTAATGATCTAATGGGATTTGGTAGGTGAAGAAGGGAAAGTGGACAGACATGAAAAATGATGGGAAAGGCTACATGTTGCAGGTATTGGTAGAACTGGATGTGGAAACACACACCACACTTCTGGAGGCTTAAAGTTACTGTAACAACCATATATTAAACTATTATCCCCATTCCACAACAATAAAATGTACAGGAGTGGAAAGGACCACTGAGGAATCATAAAGCAACTCTTTGGCCTAGAGGAAAGATCATTGGACTGGAACTATTTCTAGCACTGCCATTGGCCTTCTGGTGACCATGGGCAACTCGCTTTATCACTTTGTTTCAGCTTCCCCATCTGTAAAGTGGTACAAAGATAAAGTTATTTGAGATCTACTGATGAAAAGCATGATATAAAAGCTAAGTCTTCTGATGGCCCTGCTACAAGCATAACCTACACAATTCTGGAATAAAGTGTTGCTGACTGGAACCTCAATGTACACCTGCACCTCCTTCCTTTGATATTACTCATTGGGAGAGAGGCAGA